ACTATAATCTTTTGAGAGAATTCTCGAGAGTTTTTGTGAAATATTCTTGATATCATAATTTACTAACTATAATCTTTTGAGAATTCCCGACAACTTCTGTAAAATATTCCTAATATCATAATTTGCCAATATAATCTTTTGAGAATTCCCGGTAATTTCTGTAAAATATTCCTAATCGTAATATTATATCCTAACAAATATAATCTTTGAAAAATTTTCGATCGATATTTATAGATTATAAATGTTGTAATAATATTCCGGATTATATTACACCACTAATAGCTAAGAAGGAGAGGAAGAAGAAAGGAAATGGCTTCTTCTCCTTTTATCCCATTGACCTTATTACAACCTCAATTCAACATCTGTGAATGATATATGAGAAGGTCAAAATGATCAATATGCTAAGAATTGATTGATAAAAGTATTTTCGAGAATTAAACTAACCTTTAATCTTTCCTTTGATATCTCAATGATATATCTTTCGCTTTTTAAAATATTTTATTCCTTTCAATTTTTGCCTTTTCATTCTTTTAAAATATTTAAAACTTTTTTTCAAAGGAATTAATTAATTTTCTTTTCTTTTATTTCTAACCATTGTTTTAAATTTTTTTAAATTTCGTTTCATCTCTTTTTTTTAGGAAAAAATATACGAAAAATTATTAAATTTCACATAAAAAATTTTTTGTTAATTAGCAATTATTCATATAAAAAAATAAAAATAATAATTAAGCTTTTTAAGAGTTTTTTTAGTTTTTAATTTTAGGATGAAATTAATTAGTATGTGGCCATATTAATATCGCTGCAACGAATAGAATTAATTAAAATTATATGTGAAAATTTTTTGTCACTCGTAATTTCAAATGAAAACAATCGTAATTTTTGCACATTCAAATTTAAGCATATGCAATTAATCCATTCCTAATTAGTTACATGCAATTAAATGAAATAATCACACATTCAAAATTTAATTATATGCAATTAATCCATTCCTAGTTTAAGTTCATGCAATTGATGAAATAATCTTGCACATTCAAATTTGAGTTCATGCAATTATTAGTCCATTCCTAAATTAAGTTTATGTAATTGATGAAATAATCTTGCACATTCAAATTTAATTATGTGCAATTAATCCATTCCTAGTTTAAGTTCATGCAATTGATGAAATAATCTTGCACATTTAAATTTGAGTACATACAAATAATGAAATAATTTTGCACATTCAAATTTGAGTTCATGCAATTATTAGTCCATTCCTAAATTGAGTTCATGCAATTAATGAAATATTCTTACACATTTAAGTATCTTCAATTAACAAAATAATTTTACAGTATATTCAAATTTAAGTATTTTTTGAAATTTTCAAATTTAAGTATTCAAATTTAAGCATATATTCAAATTTAAGTGTATTCAAATTTAAGTACATGCGTTTGATCTATTCTTAATTATACCGATATTTGAGTACCAATCATTTTTGAGCACAAAAATAGCAATCTAACAATAAATAAAAGCACAAATTGATTGTAAAATTTGAAGTTCATTCTACAAAATATAGCCTATCTGATTTTTCATTCTTTTTTTAATTCTTAATAATTAATTTTAACTTAATAATAATAATAATAATTTATTTCTTCCTAATTTTTCTTCTATCAAAAAAAAAAATTTGAAAAAAACAAAAATTAACTTTTTCAAAAACAATTGTCATTGGTAAAACGAGGTAATGACATTTAAAAAAATATTTGTTGCTGATAAAAATGAGATAAGAAATTTTCTTTAGAAACACTTATCATTGATAACATGAGGTAAAAATATTATTTAAAGATAAAATGAGACAGCGATTTCTTTTAAAAACATTTATCATTGAGGTAAGGTGGAAGGAAAAACAAAAGTATGATTGCGAAAAAAGGAAAGATTGATTTTTGAAAAAATTGATAAGTTTTTACTTCTGTGAAAGCTTATCAATTTTACTGATATATATTTATATGCAAATGATAGTGATGTTGCCAGTTTTAATATCTGACTTTTTCAACTCTTCTAATAGCCTTTTGTTGTTTTTTGTTTTATTCGATGAAAAATTATGTAAATAAACAAATTATAATATTGAAAAGAAAGAGAGGGAAAGGAAAAGAAATCAAACAAACAAAACAAAAAAATCTTAAATTTAAAATAAATTAACAATAAACAAAAAAATTTTAATTAAATTAAGAAAAGTAGTGAAAAAAAGAGAAAAACAAACAAACAAAAATTAAAATAAAAAGAGAGAAAACAAACAAATAAATTTTAGTAAAACATTTTTCATTTCCTTCTATTTACAAAAAGGTGGTTAAAATTTTTTTCCTTCTTATTATGACTATATTAATTAATTAATTACGCATGTTAATTAATTGTAGAAAATTGATTGTAAAAAAATAATTGTAAAAATTGGTTATGAAAAATTCTTCATTTTATTTTTAGGGAATAATTAAGGTTTTTCCATTTCTTTTTTGTTTTCAATTATTCCAAATTTACAATAGAAAATAACAAACAAAAAAGCTATCGCATATTGATTGAATAATATTAATTAATATAATACTAAAATTAATTAAGAAGTGAAAGAATGGAATAAGCAAATAGAATTAATAAATAAATTAATTAACAGTGAATAATTAAAACAAACACGAAATTTTGGAATTAATCAAATTAATTAATTAATAAAAAATAAAATTGAATTAATTTTTATTCGATCAATAATTGAATAATATTTGTATCAAAAATTCGATGATAGGTAGAAATTTCAAATGATAACAGAAGAAATGCAACGTATCAATTGCGTTGAAATTGACAAAATCATTACAATTAATTAGGTTGCATTAAAATAATTTCTATTTGTTAAATTTTAGAAATTTTTTTTAATTAGCGCAAGATAAAAGAAAACAAAAATTAAAGACACATTAATTATCTTTTGCTATTTTCAAAAAAATTAAGCTGTAAAGATCGAAATAAATGTTTATCAGTTTATCATTGAAAATTTAGGGCAAACTATTCTTTCATTGATTAGTTTAAGAAAAGGAAGTTCAATTATTGGCTAAAAAGAGGATAAAAATAAAATATTGAAATGAGATTGAAATGAAAACATGAGACACTGCACTGATAATAATTAATAAATTATCATTAGTAATTAATATAATTAATAAAAATAATAATATTGATAATAATAATGGTAATAATTATAATTAATAGCAATAATAATAATATTAATAATATTAAAAATAATAATAGTGATAGTAATAATATTAAAAATAGTGATAATAATAATAATATTAATAATGATAATAATAGTAATAATGATAATAATAAACATATAAGAATTAATGCATAAATTTTAAATTTCGCCAAATCTTAATTTGTAAGTTTTAAATTTAGGAATGCTTTTAATTTATAAATATTAGAAAAGATAAATGGAACCATCAGAAGTTGAAATTAGCTTAACCATACATAAAATGCAATAACAATTTGTTAACACAGCTGAATGCATGTAATTTATCATTTCAAATGTATAATGTAAATAAACTTTATACTCTCATTTGAATTTCTAAATTTCTTATCAAACAATTCCTCCTATTCTTATATATTTGTCTGTTTGTTTAACTTTTATTTCGTCAACATTTATTTATTAAAATATCATTTCTAATTTTAATTTCCAATAATTTATTTATTCGTTTAATTTCCAATATCTATTTATTAAAATCATTGAATTACTTACAGTATAGTAATATTATTTATTAAAATATTATTTCTAATTTTAATTTCCAATATCTATTTATTAAATTACTCACAATATAATAATATTATTTATTAAAATATCATTTCTAATTTTAATTTCCAACAATTTATTCATTCATTTAATTTTCAATATCTATCTATTAAAATTATTAAATTACCTACAGCATAATAATATGATTTATTAAAATATTATTTCTAATTTTAATTTCCAATATCTATCTATTAAAATTATTAAATTACAATATAATAATATTATTGAAATATTATTTCTAATTTTAATTTCCAATATCTATTTATTAAATTACTTACAGTATAATGATATTATTTATTAAAATATTATTTCTAATTCTAGTTTCAATAATTTATTTATTCATTTAATTTCCAATATCTAAATCTATTAAAGCTATTAAATTACTTAATTTATAATTTTGATTTCCAATATCTATCTAATAAAATTATTTAATTACTTACAGTATAATTATATTATTTTTTTTTAAAGTTATTAACATTTTGAACAAAAATCTGTTTTCATAAATATTTTTTTAATGATCAATAAATACTTTTTGCAGCATACACTTAATTTCATGTTTAAAATTAAATTTTCTTTGTTATTTTTAAGAGTTATTGCCATTATTATTATTATTTATTATTACTATTATTATTAATATTATTATTATTCATTGTTATTTTTATTCATTGTTATTATTATTATTATTATTATTATTATTATTGTTATTACGAAATTTCATTATAGAGCTAACAAATTCTTTTAACGAAAACATGAGTAATCTTTAACGTCCTGCTGTTATACCTGGTCCTACTATTACTATTAATATTATTATTTTTATAGTCATCTACGGTATTATTATTGCCATTATTATTACTGCTATTATTATTATTAATATTAGTTCAATATTGCTAATATTATTATCATTGTAATTGATATTATCACTCTAGTTAATATTATTAGTCATTAGTTATTAATATTACCATTTTAAAAAATTTTGTCACAAATATGAATAACTTCGATGATTATCATTATCATTGTTACTATCATCACTAATTATAGCTATCGTTTTATTAAATTATAAATATTAGCAAACTGTTAATAATATTAAAAATTCAAGCAATCCTTTTATGGCAATTTTATTTTCGAAAGATTAATTAGATTAGTTAATTTTAGTGTAATTAAAATTAAATAAACAAAAACAGAGAAGATAGAGGAGAAAGAAAAAAATTAATTAACCCAAATTTGGTCGCTTAAATCGTCGAAGCGTTGAAAATGATTGTTTAAAATTTAAGATTGGAACACTATCAGTGCGCAAATATTCTGACATAGATTTTCCGAATGAATTTTCCGTATATGTTGGATAACTTCTAACGGCAGTACGTGAACCAATTTTTCGTTCACCTTTAAACATTATAAAGGTTATTGTGCACATTTAAACTAATTCGACAATAATTTATTTTCTAAAAATATACCACCTAGTAATTAAATTAATTATTTGCTTGCTAATTAATAATTTTGATGAAAAAATTTACGAACCATTTTTATCATAATCGATAAATTTGGATGAATTTACTACAGTTGCTGTATCACCGTGACAGTAGGATTTCAGCAATGATCGAAATCCACTATCTAGTCGAAATCGACGTAAATGTTTATTCATCGGTTCCGTTTTCTGAAACACTAATCAATAATTTAAATGCAAATTTAAATTTCTAGTTTGCAAAATAAATTGATTTCTACGATTATTAAATGATTATGCAAGCAATATATAATTTGACACAGAAAAAAAAATAATTAAAAAATATTATAACTTCAGTTAATTAATTTGTTAGCAATGGATTAATTATGATGAGAAAATTCTTAGTAACGAATTAATTGTAAAGAAATGAATGAATATGTTGTTATTTTAAATTAAATCATATAATTGATTTTAATTGTTAAATGCCTTTATTTAATTAATTTTCAAGTAGTGAACTAATTATTACGAAAATTTTAAGTAATGAATTAATTATAAAGAAATGAATGAATATGTTAATTATTTTAAATTAAATCATATAATTGATTTCAATTGTGAAATGCTTAATTTAATTAATTTCTAAGTAATAGATTAATTATTAAGAAAATTTTAAGTAATGAATTATAAAGAATTGGAAATTATTATTATCAAATTAAACAATAAAATTGATTTACAATTATTAAATGTTCATACATGCAATATCTAATTAGCTATTCAAAAAATATGCTAACTTTATTTGGTTAATTTTTAACTCAAAATTTTTTGCATATATTTTTTAATTAATTATCATTAATTATTTTAATTCTATTTTTCACTCTAAATTCCATTGCCATAATAAATCAACTTTTCATAATAGCAACTGTAGAAAATTTCCGAATTTAAAACTATGAAAATTGTGTGGAAAAAATTGAACAACATTATTATCGGAAACTAAAAAAACTAATTTTAAAATAGTGTTCGTATTACATTAATTATTTAAGTTAATTATTTAAGTATTTATATTGATTATTTCAGTTAAAATATATATTATAGTTAAAAATATATTATATTAAGTATTTATATTCAGTTAAAAATATATTATATTAAGTATTTATATTGATTATTTCAGTTAAAATATATATATATCAATTTTTTCATTATTAGTAATTTATTTTAAAATTAAAGAAAACGAAAAAATTATTTTTTTTTCATTTGAAAATAAAAATTCATTAATTAAAATTAATATATGAAATGAATCAACCTGTTGATGACGATGAGAAGCTGTAAAATTTTCATCCATTCTTGAAATGCAATAGCCTGATGATGGTTCCGGTAAAAAAATTGAGAACGAACCGTTATGTGGCATATAATTATAATTATTATTTCCTGAAATTAAACAATTATCAATTTTTTATCATCCATAATCTATTTCATCCTTTTTTTACGGTAATTGAAATTGAATAATGCATTGATTATTTTCTCAAAAAAAGAACGAAAATGATTGATCATTATTTTTGTATTTATTTTTGCGAAATTAAGAATTAATAAATAAACAAATAAATGAGCAAAAAATAGTAGTAATAAACAAATAAATAAATAAGCAAAAAATAGTAGTAATAAACAAATAAATAAATAAGCAAAAAATAGTAGTAATAAACAAATAAATAAATAAGCAAAAAAATAGTAGTAATAAACAAATAAATAAGCAAAAAATAGTAGTAATAAACAAACAAATAAATGAGCAAAAAATAGTAGTAATAAGCAAATAAATAAACAAGCAAAAAATAGTAGTAATAAACAAATAAATAAGCAAAAAATAGTAGTAATAAGCAAATAAATAAACGAGCAAAAAATAGTGGTAATAAACAAATAAATAATTAAACAAAAAATAGCAAAAAATAACTAAATAACTAAGAAATGAAAATTTGTCATTAAACTTGTCACTGAATTTTTTTCCGATATTTAACTATGAAAAAATAAAATTCAATAAAAATTTAAGATTTAAATAATGAATAAATAAACAAATAAATAAATAAGCAAAAAAAAATAGTAGTGAAAAATAAATAAACAAATAATAATAGCAATAAATAAATGAACAAAAATCGTAAAAAAAGAAATAAACAACTAATAGACAAAAATTTGCCATCAAATTTGTTATCAAATTTTCTTATTCTTTTTATGATATCTAACTATGAAAAATAAAATAGAAGTTTTGCAACGGTAAAATTTCATGGCAATCAAAATGCATGTAAAAATGCATTCTCGCCTATTTTGACCCAATTTAACAATATGGTTGTTATTCTTTTCTAATTGATTACTCATTGATATATTTGAATTTTAATTTAGAACTATTCAAATATTTTAAAGTTACATATATTTTATGCTTTCATTTTGAAGAAAAAATTTCAGGTATATT